AAAACAATCAATCTCTGCATAGTCCTTGAGTATGTAAGTACCAAGTTTCATTGAAATGTAATGCTAACTACTTATATCAAATGCTGAAAATTAATTAATTATGCAAATTAGGTAATTAATATGTACTGATATTACCATAAAAACTATCAGGTCTGTGCAGTGTCGTATGACATCTATGTACCAAGTTTCATTGAAATGTGATGATTAGTACTTGAGATATCAGTGGAAAAACCGAAAATTGACTAATCATTATGCAAATTAGGTAATTAGTATCCACGGATTATTACCAAAAACTAATCAAAACCTAGCATTAGTTCAGAGCATCTATGTACCAAGTTTCATCAAAATCCAATGAGTGGTTGTTTAGATATCAGTGGAACAGTCATGGAACCACTAAAAAATAGCTAATTATCATGCAAATTAGGTAATTAATATGCACAGATTTTTACCAAAAATTAATCAAATCTGTGCATATGTTCAGAGCATCTATGTACCAAGTTTCATCAAAATCCAATGAGTGGTTCTTTAGATATCAGTGGAACAGTCATAGAACAGCTAAAAATTAGCTAATTATCATGCAAATTAGGTAATTAACAAGCATGGATTTTTACCAAAACCTAATCAAATCTGCGCATTGGCCCAGAGCATCTATGCACCAAGTTTCATCAAAAACCGATGTATGGTTCTTGAGATAGCAGTGGAACAGTCGGACACACATACACACACACACACATACACACATACACACATACACACACACATACAGACACACTAACTGCAAAGACTCCCATTTTGTGCTTCGCACATGGGAGTCAAAAATGGTTGCACTAGAAACCAAGAAAGTATTAAAGACACATAGCTATCATTGTTAAAGAAGTAGTCAAAATGTAACAGTGACAATGAACAACAGAGACAGACAATCAGTAACATTTAGTACTTTGTTCTTTTGAAGATAATTAAACCCCAGTCATTTACATGCATCAGCTAATATATGGTATTTATCTTTATAAATAGAAAGACAATAACATTGTTTTACTTACATCTCTGTCAACAAATCCTCGTTTTCTTCCTCTGAGCGGTTTAAATGAATTTTCTTTTGATCTAACTTCTGTTGGCATGGAAATAAACAATTCATTATTCCAAAAGGCATGCAATATTGTAGAAAAAAACAAACCAAAATCATAGAATTTTTCACAAAAAATTGAACAAGTATTTTGTAATGCATAAGAATTCTGTTGTTTGTTGTAAAGTCACTAACATACAGCAACTACACATAATGGTTAATCCTTCCCACAAGTTTGAAGTAAATTGGCTGACACATGCCTGAGATGTGGTTTTGATGTAGTACTACAACAAAAATGACTGTCAGTCGGTTGGTCATCTGTGACCGAATCATGAAATCACTACACATGTATCAGATGTTTCAGACTTCATCATTCAAGACTATGGATACCTGCAGTTTGTTTCCCTGCCATTATGAATTCAATACCCAGTGAAAATGCTCAAAAAACATCAAATAGTGAAAATAAATACCAGTGAAAATAAAATAATGTTTTTACAGTGGTTTTACATACAATCTAGCTTAGACATTGACACATTAATAAAGGTACTTCTAACTATACTACCAGTAGTATTTGAATATAGAACATGAATATAGAAAATAAATAAATCACTGAATAAATTTACCTCTGTAACTATCCTGGCTCATTTGTGCGGATGCAACACACCAGACAGAGAAAGTTGCCAAGGCATGTCCTTGAGGGTCACTAAGTCTCTGCCACTGACTTGGATCATTCAGTATTTGAGTTAATACAGTACGAATCAATGCCAATGTCAACTGTTCTATATCCACTTGGAACAAAGCAATCATGATTTCAACTATCAAATATAGTAAACAAGAATAAGAAATTAAAAGCATGACACATTTTACCCCAGACCCTACTAATTACCCATCAAATTACCCTTTTACTTGATGGACAGAAAATACTGTTTCAATTTCAACAAGAGGCTCTCGTGACTTTCAGGAAACTTGAAATGATATCTGAAGTTATACAATCACGCAAACCATTATTGCTGCATAAACAAATGATTTTAATTTATGATTTTTATATATTATTATGATTTTAACCTAATAATAATAATATTAATAATAATAATAATAATAATAATAATAATAATTCATCCACAGTTTCACTTTGAGAACAGTTTATGCAAGTTCTATTTTCAATTAGAGATTTGGATTAAGTGTGTCTACCTGTTTCAATAACCAGGTTATGGTTACTGATTCTAAGCTTTGTTTTTTCTTTAAGGCATTCTTTCCAGAATTCAATGTAATCCTTTTTTAGCACATTCATAATTTGTTTTGAATCCTGTGTTAAATTGTTTCCCATTACAGATTTGTTTAAATCTCTGAATTGAAATACCCCATGATAAGTTTGACTTCATCTGTTCTTGAAATGCTTGTTTTGTTAGATCATTTTCTGGAAGATCCTTAATTCTACACCAGTAATTAATAAGTAATTTTAGGTGATCTTGTTCTGTTCTGTTTTATCTTATTTATTGTTATCTAAAATTTTCACTCCCGAAATTTCCGCACCATATAATAAGAAAGGTTTTACACAGGACTTGAAAATACGAATAGCTGTTTTGCAGGCAGTTTCTTTTGGCAAGTATTTTGACATAGCATGTTTTATCTGCCATATTATTCTGTGCTTCGTTGAATTTGCTTGTATTGTTACCCCCAGATATGTATATGAATTGACACAAGTAATATTTTTATCTTGATAGTAGAAAACCTCTTTTTTGATATACTATAATTATGATTTTAATCTATGAATTTGATATATAATTATGATTTCAATCTAGGATTTTGATATACTATTATGATTTTAATCTATGATTTTGATATACTCTCATGATTTCAAAATATTCCTTTTAAATGACACAATTTCAAAATATTCTGTATCTGTCACATTATTTACAATGTCAATGTCTGAAAACATAGATTTGTGATTTATGTGTTCGTTGTTACATTTCTCACCTGCTGATTGCAGCTCATCTTTCCTCTGTAGGGAAAGTAAATGATTTACCATCTTTTCACAGAACCACTGTACACCACTGACATTGATAATTTGATCCATCGCTGCCAAGACTGTCTTATCCACACAACCAGCCTCCAGCACTTTAGCAAACACATCCTTGGCAACAATACTAGTGGGTGTAGTCAGTGGAATGGTGAAGGTGGAATCTAGACTGCTGGATGTACCACTAGGCCATGAATCCAAGCAGTTAGAACACATCTTTTTGATTATATTTGTCATTAACAGATTTCTATTGGGAGAAAGATAGATTTACAACTATCAATGTCCATACAAACAAAAATCAAAGAAAGCTTAGAAAGAACTCCCGTGTGCTGAGAGTATTGAAGACACATTAAAAATTAATTCAAAATTACTTGTACATGAGATATTGATAGAAAAGCTGAAAACTAATTATGTAAATCAGGTAACTAATATGAACAGAACAAAACAAAAAAATTATGAATTATTATGCTAATTAGAGATTTAATATGATCGAAATTAATCAGGCCTGTCTATTGTCCTAGAGCATTTATGTACCAAATTTTATTCAAATGTGATCAGTAATTGAGATTTCAGTCTTAATTAATTATGTTAATTAGGTGATTAATAAGCATAAATATTTACCAAAAACTAATTGGGTTTCTGCATACTTCTCTTTAAAAGTTTCATTAAAATCAATTTGTGGTTCTTTATATATCAGTGGAACATTATGCAAATTAGGTAATTAATATCCAATTAAAACTAATCAGGTGTCTGCATAATCCTAGAAGATCTATGTCGCAAGTCTCATTGAAATATGATGATTACTACTTGATATATCAAAAGATGAAAATTAATTAATTATGCAAATTAGCTAATTAATATATACTGATATTACCCTAAAAACTATCAGGTCTGTGCAGTGTCCTATGACATTTC